TTTTTTTTTTTTTTTTGCGGGGGGTCTCCTGATTTTTTTTCTTTATATTTTTTTATTTATTTTCCTTTCTCCCGGTGTGGATGTATCTGTGTGAGTGTGTGTTAAAATATATGTATGTATGCATGAGGCAAAACTATGGAAAAGTCCTTGACGATGCAGCCACAGTGGCCACGTAATATCCCAGTTAGAGACTACAGTTACACACACACACAACCGCAGTGGTCAGATGCGATGCCTGTGTTAATGGGGTGCCCCCTGGCTCGGGCCCGTGTATGTGCATCATGTGGAAAGTCCAAAAAGCTCTGTCAGTGTCGCACTTGCTCAAACTGCCAGGAGTCCGTGAGTTTCCACTCCAGGAGGAGGCATAGGCATCACTGCAGAAAATGCTGGAGGGCGGTGTGTCCTGGTTGCTGGAAAAAGATTCGGTACATGCACATGCTGGGGCAACCTGTGATGGTGTGTGACAACTGTGCCGTCCTACGCGGCCTGGCGATTTTACGTAAAAGGAAAGAAGAAAGGTTCATGTGGGGCCTTTACGTCTTGTGGAGAGCGGCAGACATGCCGTTAGTGTGTATCACACCCTCCTGTAGCACCTACACTTACCAAAGTACGTGTCGAAAATGTGGTCTTCCGACGGTTATGACACAACCCCATGAAGAACGCAGCGTTCGGATTCCTCCATCTCCCGTAGCGAGGGTGGTGGACATTGTGAAGTACTTGGACGCCAAGGAGTGCTCGGTACGCGCGTCCATGGTGGAAAAATATACAGCCGAGGACGTGGAGAAGGCATTTAGCACGTTTTTCCCTCAATTAGAAAAGGTTTTGGCTTTCCAGGGAGTGACAACTGCAGTTGAGGCACAGGACTTGATATTGTCGTTGGTGGCTGCCACGGTGGCCTACGAATACAATGAAGCGCCTAACCTCACATTGGCCCTCTCTGATATCCCTTTTTCCCGCCTTTTAAAGGTGGCTCGTACCACTCATCGTTTTTCTGTGTTGGAGGCACCTGGTAAGGTAAGGTTTGTCGTGTTTCCGGGAACGCACAACTACCGTACGTTCAATGTGAATCTGCGTTGGGGTCGGGTAAAGCGACAACAGTGGACAGGCCTTGTTGACGGACTCGTAGCTTCTGGCATTGGTGGTGTTGACGATGACCATTACATTCCCGTCCACGGGGGCGTTCGCTTGTTGTGGGAGTATCGCGTTCACGAGGGCTTCTCCCGTGAGGCTGATGAAAGTTTGTCACAGATGGAACAACTCATTCATGATGTCCGCCACAATGGGTATCGCTTGGTCTGTACAGGGCACTCACTGGGTGGGGCCGTTGCGCAACTAGTCACTTTTCGCATGCTGTGTTCCCACACGGAATTGAAGGACAAATTGACGTGCATCACTTTTGGCACACCTCTAGTGGGAAATTATCAACTTGCACAACGCGTGGAGAGGTGCGGATGGCGGTCGAAATTTCATCACGTCGTCTACCGCTCTGATGTGGTTCCGCGCTTGTCTTGTGCGGATCAAATAACCAAGGATTTGGCGGATCAGCTTGTGCAAGGGATCGTAGCGTTTCAAAGCTCCGTACAGGGCTGGTTTGCATCGCGTTCAAGCGGGGGTGAAGAACCCAAGGATGTCGCAAAGGAAATTGATACTTGGATAAAAGAAGGTAAGGACGCCGTAGAAGCTGAAGACATACCCCCACCTACAAGTGGTCACCGCACCCACCGTATGTACGCATGTTTTGGTCGTTACCACTTCCTCAACCACGGTGGTGTTAACTATTTCTCAACAGACGATTCTGAAATAGCGTTTCATCGTTTGAAAGCGGGTTGCGGAGGTGTGACCATTGTACGGGACCATTCTCTCTCCGCCTACAACAGGGCTCTTATGCTTCACCTCTATATTCCATAAATCTTCAACAAAATATTTTGCGTTTTTCTGCATTTATGCTCTCTCAATTCTTTTTTTTTTGTTTGTTTTATTTGTGGAGGGGGGTGTTGGTTGACAATGCCACATTACCATAATTTGCTGCCGCAGATGGTCGAAGTGCCATTAAAAAGGTTCAGTGCCCGCTGTAATAAAATTGGCCGCATATATTGATATGATCAGGCGTGTAGCAAAAATTGTTGTCATTCTCTCTCATTTTCTTCTCTTGATGCAGGGCTTTGCGACAATAAGGTTGATACCGTAGGTGTTTTTACCATGGCGCGGGTCCACATGTGTATAAGGTGTGTTCCTGAGCGGCCTGATCTGATAGTGGCGTTGTGAGTTTATATTCAGCTCTCAGTGGGGTAATGGAAACCTTTTGTGGCACGCTCCCTGCGGCAGACGGCAAAATTGGTTGAATCAACATCGGAGCCCATGCCCAAACAGAGATGGGGACCCAGGAGAGAGTGTACGCCAGAGGGTTGGCATTTGGGGGTTTGATTCCAGCACATTTGCACACCAATAGAGGAGGGAGGGCATGAATTATATTCTCCGCAATATGTATTGTAAAAGGAAAAAACAGACCTCTAGGTGATAATTTTTATGCATATAGCCGTCGAAGAATGCAGCTGTTACCAACCATCCTCCTTGGTGATGCCGGCCACCTCATCGTGGTACCAAGGTCCAGCACCCCGTATTGTCGGGGGAAGCCAGGCGCCAGCAATGCTCGCCACCCGGAGAACTTTGCCGTGCCAGCCTTGCGGCATCACGAAGTACCAGGACCCGCCGCGCCTCGCTGGGACACAGTGTTATCCTTGTCGGTCTTGGGGCGCGTGTTACCGCGCCGTTAGCAGTATCATCCGCACCAAGTTACTGCTTAGTGGAAATGTGGAAGAGAATCCCGGCCC